AAAAAAACAGAAACTACACTGAAGCCTAAACAATCACAATACTCCTCCATAACAATTTTGTTACCACAGTAACCTGACTCTCAGATTATACTGTAATATAGTGGTTAATGTACTATATTACAAATGGTATGCCTATATTTGGAGAAGGAAATCATTATGACAGTGCAAGTAAGATGATTTTTTATGTTTAACATAGAACTGTACATTTGCCAGAATTTCAAAAAGTGACCTCCATTTATTCTCTCAAGAGAAAGCACATAGAAAGTCACTGGTATGTCAGATATGACTGCTTTGTTTGTTTTTTTGTTTTTTTGTTTTTCGAAACAGGGTTTCTCTGTGTAGCTTCGGAGCCTGTCCCAGTACTTGCTTTGTAGCCCAGGCTGGCTTCAAACATTACTGCTTTTCCTGATAAAAAGCTAATGTTAGGGCTGGGGAGATGGGTCAGTATAGAAAGAGGTTGCTGGACAGGTGTGAAGACCAAAGTTCAGATCCCCAGCACTCATGTAAATTCCTGGTATGACCACATGTGCCCAAAACTTGGAGAGACAGGCAGATCTCAAGAGACAACTTGGCCAAAATGGTGAGACCTGTTCTCAGAGATGGAGTTGAGGACTCAGAGGTTAAGAGAACTGGCTGCCCTGCCTGACAACCAGGTTCAATTCTCAGCACCCACATAGTAGGCCACACACTATAACTCCAGATCTGCGGGATCTGATGTCCTCTTCTGGCCTCTGTGGGCACTAGACATGCAAGTGGTACACAGACATATATGCAGGCAAAACACCCATACACATAAAAATAAAAGAGAGCCTGTTCTCAAGGGATTAAAATGGAAAGCAATAGAGCAGGATACCCAACATTCCCCTCTGGCTGCACACACATGAAGAAAGACAGACAGACAGACAGACAGACAGACAGACAGACAGACAGACAGACAGACAGACACACACACACACACACACACACACACACAACTTTTTAAAGTTTTCTATTTCTATGCACTTCCCCAAACCAGAGGTCATCAGCTGGAGAGAGGCAGGTGACTTAGTGTGTGTCCTTCTGATTGTCTCTCTTCAGATCACTAATCTTATATTTTGTTTTGCTTTTATCTTTTGAGACAATGTCTCACTACGTAGCCCTGGGTAGCCTGGAACTCAACTGAAATCAATCCTCCTGCCTCAGCCTCCCAAGCATACCTTCACCTTCTTATAGTTCCTGCTTTCTCTTCCCTTCTCACCTTAAATGCCTAGCTATAGTACTGGAAGGTTTGACTATGATATAACAGAGCAATAGAGACACTGGTCTCTGGCTTAGGAACTCTGGGTAGAATGAGGGTAGTATAAGTCTTCAAATAAAGATCCTGGTTAGCCGGGCGTTGGTGGCTCACGCCTTTAATCCCAGCACTCGGGAGGCAGAGGCAGGCGGATCTCTGTGAGTTCGAGGCCAGCCTGGTCTCCAGAGCGAGTGCCAGGATAGGCTCCAAAGCTACACAGAGAAACCCTGTCTCGAAAAACAAAAAACAAAAACAAACAAACAAACAAAAAACCAGCCGGGTGGTGGTGGCAAACACCCTTAATTCCAGCATTTGGGAGGTAGAGGCAGGCAGATGTCTAAGGTCAGCCTGGTCTGAACAGGTCCAGGCCATACTCCTTTCTCCCAAGCTTTCTCCCCCACATGGTGACGTGTGATAGTGTCTGCTGGTGGACTACCAGTTCTAATACATGTTTATCTGCAGCTCTTGTTCAAATAGCAATTGCCGAAATAGAGATTCTTTCTGTAGTCTGGATGCCATTTTATCTAAAATGCCTTTAATACAACTTCATCATGAACAGAGAAACAGGCTTGGAAATACCTCCCACGACAGCATTGAGGCTGCACTGGAAACAAGCTATGGCAGTGTGGGAAGGCTCACAATTGTAAGGTGTGCATATGCCAGCACGGCCATTAACGCGGCCTGAGACTCAGAACGCATGCCACTGTGCCAGAGGCAGACACGGCCTGTTCTTATGGATGAAAGCTAACAATCACTGCTTCAGGGTGCAGAGTGGGCTTCTCAGTAGCTCTCGGGGGGCCGTCACTCTGCACTGGCATGTTCTGGAATCGGTACTTTGACAGCGGAAGTGGGCAATTTTCAAGATTTGCAGGAAAATAAGCTCAGTGGGTATTTTCTCCCCCACAGATTTCCAAAGAGTCACAAAGCTTTAAAAACTAAGTATATATTATGGAAGGTATTTCATACCATGGAGTACTTCACTCTTTGGTGACAACTTTATTACATGTTGTTTCTGAGCCAGTGTTCATTCTCTTTGGTTACTTTCTTTTAAAAATGTTCAAAACCCTGCAAGCTCATGGGAAAGGTCTGAACAGATAAACATCACAGACCATGCCTCAAAGCAGCCATCTCCACCATAGGACCCCAATGACCTGGCTGGAGGGGAGGGAGTGCATCTTGTGGACCTTCATTTTATCCTCCTGAAAGCCGAGTGTGGTATCAAACACCTGTAATACACATGTATTTAGTGTAGGGAGACACGGTTAAACTCAGGAATGGGAGGGCCGGAGCAGGAGAACTGCCACCTGGGCATATTGCAATCGGTGGCTCTAGAAGGGAAAATTATTTTAGATATACAGGCCTTGACTTTAGCTGTTCTCTGATATTGATCAGAGACATAACCCTAGAAAATGCACATCCTTGGTACTTCCTGGCTATAAGACCCCAAATTTCCTGTGGGTCACTTTTTGTAGATGGAATTCAATGCTCTCAAATATACCAGCCCTCAAGTGTCAATCAACTTGCAGAAATAACACCTCACAGAGTCTGTAAATTTGAAATGGCCCTGATGTACTCACTCACTTCATTTTCCCCACCAGACTCAGTATTCCTGGTCTGTTAGACAATCAGGCACTGTACTCAACTGTTCAAAGAAGGCTTTTCAAAGCATGGCAGTCAGCTCATTTGTTCCAAGCCAAAGCTGGGACAGAAGAACACCATGTAGTTTTAGGACATAGTAAGGGTGTGTGCCTGCTGTCTATTTTTAGGAGTTATACTGAGAAACTTCCTTTTTGAATATATGTAGGAAAAGAAAAGTAATAGCAGAGTTACTGCAGGACTTATTTCATTCTTAAAATAGCTCTGTCCAACAGGAGCAGACCAACGTCCTCCCAGGAGCTTGCAGTCATTTTAACTCTTACTATCTGCTATCAAAGGCTTATTTTCTACATTCATAGACTATCTCCAAAGGGGTTCCTGAAAGACTGGCTATTTTCAACAAATACACTCCCCCCCTTTTTTGAAACAGTCTCTCTCACTCTATAGCTCAGGCCAGCCTTGAATACACAACAATCCTCCTGCCTCTGCCTCCCAAGGAAGAGCCGCCCATCCAGCTAACAAATACACTTTTAAATCTTCACATTTCAAAAACTGTTCCAAAGAAGTAAACAGTAAATGGTGAGGCACTGGCAGAGTTAGCCCCCACGAGTGCTAAGCTAACTGGGGACAACTCTATGACAACTCTCCGGATAAACAACCATCAGTTCTGCCACCCGTCAAACGGCAGCCAGCAGTTTTCCCTAGACCCTATTAACAACTCGAAATGCTTAAAAAGTAATCAGTAAGCAAGGCTGCAACATTTATGTATCTATGTCAAGAGCACTGTGTGGGGCTATGGGGACGGTTCAGTGTTAACCTAGCACATACGCAGCCCTGGGTTCAATACACACCATCAAAACATGAATAATTTTCACTATCAGATCCTAGATTTTCCACTGGTACAATTTGTTTTTGTTTCTAATTTTGGTGTGCGTGTGTATGTTGCCTACATGTGTATCTGTGTACCACTTGCGTGTCTGGAGCCCCCCAGAGGCCAGAAGATGGTGTCTGATTACCTGGAACTGGAGTTATATACAGATAGTAGTAAGCTGCCATGTGGATGCTGAGAATTGAAGCTGGGTCCTCTAGAAGAACAGCCAGTACTTTTGAGCCCTCTCCAGCACCAAGAACAACCTCTTACTGCACCTGGAGCTCACCATTTTGGCTAGGCTGCCTGGCCAGAGAGCTACTGAGATCTGTCTTTGGGGGACTGGGGGAATGTAAGTGTTCTTCGGGCATATTTGCTAAGGGGACAGAAGTGTTCTTGAGACATGCAAGACTACTTTTTTTTTTTTTTTTTTTTTAAGATTTTATTTATTTATTACGTACAGTCTTCTGCCTGCATGCCAGCAGAGGGCACCTGATCTCATTCACGGTGGTTGTGAGCCACCATGTGGTTGCTGGGAATTGAACTCAGGTCCTCTGGAAGAGCAGTCGGTGCTCTTAACCTCTGAGCCATCTCTCCAGCCCCCAATTACTCTGATTTTATACCAGACTTGATTTAAATATCATAGAAAACATGGTATTCCCTGAAAAATAGGTTAAATGAAACAGACCACATATTATTCAGCTTTCTAAAACTCCTGTTCCATTAAGCTATGTCCCCACCTCGGTTCTCCCCTCAAGGATTCCAGATGCTATTGTTCATAGTTTAGCACCCTTGAGATCAGGGAGATGTCAGTCAGAAAGCAAAGCTCTTCATAGCTCTGCTCATCCATATTAAAGTGTGGCTTCAGGTACTGCTAGGCAGTTTCAGGTTGACAGGGCCAAGGAAGACCCGAGAACATTCAAGGGTGGCAAAGGCACTAATGGAAATACTATAATTTGAAAATTATATTGTTTTTTTGGTTTGGGTTTTTCAAGGCAGGGTTCTTTGTGTAGCCCTGGCTGTTCTAGAACCTGCTCTGTAGACAAGGCTGGCCTCGAACTCAGAGATTCCATGGGATGAAAGGTGTTCACTGCCACCATTCCTTGACCCTAATGTTTGTACATGTTAGATCTAGCCTTAAACAGAAAGCTTGACTAATATGTGTTTTCTTCATGTGCAATCAAAGCAAAGGGCAGGAGGAGCATCCACGCAGAAGATAAACTACACACTTGCGAACTATTTCATACCACAGCCATTGCTTACCTTTTCAGGTCAACGGTTGTGACACTGAACACAACTCCTTTAAGCCAAAGAATCATGAAGAGCCTCTGTGAAAAGGGGCAGTTTCCTATGCTCTCTCCATCACTGCCAGCCTGGAAATAGAAACATTTAAAAACAAGGTCACAATGAGGACAGTCATATAGCGCTTCCTATGAATTCCAATTAGAAATATTTATTTGGGATGGCAAGGAGGGTGAAGATACAGGTCCAATTATTTTGGCCTTTCATTTGCCTCAGCTTCTTCTCAGAAAAGGGCAGTCCAGTAGAGCACCATCCCAGATGACCTTGTACTGAAAAGGAGACCCTATTACCACTTTCCAGTGTGGCAACTAGCAGCAGCATCTGGCTGATGACATCTTAAAATAAGGATAGTCCCAATGTAATGACGATTTCATTTGGCTTATCTTTAAAAGTCACATTTGTTTTGAGTTTGAGGCCAGTTCAGTCTACAGAGTGAGTCCCAGGACAGCCAGGGCTACACAGAGAAACCCTGTCTTGAAGGGAAAAAATGTCATGTTTGGCTAATAATATTATGATTTGACAGAGATGTCCCACAAATTTTTTGGCATTTGAATACTTGGTCCCAGTTTGTGGCACTGTTTGGGTATGATTCAGAGGTGTGGCCTTGTTGGAGGAAGTATATCACTGGGTGTGGTTCAGGTTTCAAAAGCCATGAGACATTCCATTTGTTCTAATTCCTATTTGTGGTGTGAGATGTGGGCTCTCAGCTGCTGCTTTCAGCAGCCAAGCTTGGTGCCCTGCTGCCATGCTTCCCACTGTGATGGTGATGGACTTGCTTTTATTTCTCTAGAACCCTGAAGCTCTCTATAATAAACACTTCCCTCTATAAATTGCCTTGGCCATGGTGTTTATCCCAGCAACAGAAAGTTAACTAATGCAGGCTGCTGTGTTGAAAAGTGCGCCATTCCCAAAGACACATACATCCCTGACACAAACAAAGGCAAAGTCTGCATGGGTCTTGATAGTCTTTTTTGGGGGTGAGGGTGGGGGAGACAGAGGTTCATTGTGTAGCCCTGGGTGTCCTAGAACTCACTCAAAAACCAGACTGGCCTCAAACTCACAGGGAGCTGCCTGCCCCAGCTCCCCAAGTACTAGGATTAAAGGCGTGTGCCACCACAGCTGATAACAGTATACTGTATAAGGCAACATAAAACCAGGAAATGTATAGATGTCTCCAAAGAGTCAAATAACTACTAATCATCTCTCATTTAAAAAGAATCATTCATACACACACACACACCATGGATTTAGGATATATATATACATATATATATATATTGGAATATCCTAATTCCATGTTATTCATGGAGCAAGAAAATAAGCAAGCACTTTTTTATAAGCTTTTCCTAATCCTACAACATGGATGAACAGTTACCTTCCCTGAGTGCAATGATGAAGGAGGTAGAATTTTCTGAAGTCTTGAATTTTACCAGGTATGCCCAAGATTAAAAGGGAGACAGGGGTAGGGGTAGTATGGTAGCATACCCTATAATCCCAGCACTTGTGAGGTAGAGGCACGAAGATCAGGAGTTCAAGGTTATCCTCTATTACCTAGCAAGTTGGAGGCCAGCCTGAGCTATGACAACTCAGGATAGAAACACTGATCACTTAAGAGCACTATTTTCCCATCCCAGTTCATTCAAACGATGAGTCCTTTTGGGGTTTGGACGTACCAAAGCAAAACAGGGTACCAGAAATATGGAAGTCCATCTGCTTATTTACACACACACACACACACACACACACACACACACACACACACACAAACACAACAATATGAGCCATGAGCAGAAGGCAGTTTGCATTAAACTTCCTAGGCAACACACCAGATTTCTTGAATTTCCTTCGGGGTTAAAAAAAAAATTTGAGGACAGGTGGTATTGGTGCACATGCAGGAGGATCTCTGAGTTGGTGACCAGCCTGGTCTACAAATCAAGGTACAGGACAGCCAGGACTATGCAAATAAACCCTGTCTCAGGGTTAAAAAAAAAGGGGGGGGCCTCAATTATCTTCCTCTTATCTTTTGCTTTTTGGCTAAAGTAAGCAATTTGTTCTGCCATATCCCACCAGCCACTGCCATGCAGCTTCCACACCAGAGACACAAAGCTGTAAATCTCTACACCATAAACCAAACCAAAACTTTTCTCTTCAGTTGTTAGTTATCATGGATATTTTATTATAGTAACAGAAAGCTGACTAATACTGCAAGTATCCAGGCACACTTGGCGCTGCCCCTTGGTGAACCTGGTAGAGTGCTTCACCCCTGTGCACATGGCCCTTTTAAAAATCAGAACTCACTAGGCAGTGCTGGCGCACACCTTTAGCTCCAGGACTGGCAGAGGCAGGAAGATCTCTGTGAGTTCGAGACCAGCCTGGTCTGTAAGAGCTAGTTCCAGGACAGCCTCCAAAGCCACAAAGAAACCCTGTCTCGAACCAACCCCCCCCCCCAAAAAAAAAAAAATCACACAATCTGAACAAAGGAGAAAAAGTAGGCTTAAACTAAATATACAAAGCTGGGCATGTAGCACACACCTTTAATCCCAGCACTTGGGAGGCAGCGGCTGGCAGATCTCTGTGAGTTCAAGGACAGCTTGGTCTACTAGTAAGTTCCAGAACAGCCAGAGCTACATATAGTAAGATCCTGTCTCAAAACAGTAACAACAAAGGAATATCGGCCGGCCAGCTTTTGATTGCATATGTCTGTGCTCCCAAAATTCAGGAGACTGAAACAGGAGGCGTATGGGAGGTGGGGGTGGGCCTCAGCACTCGCTTGAGTTTTGTTCTTCTGGAAAGGGTGTTCTGTCTACCATGCGTCTGCCATGGCTCTTTGCTCACTAGCCCTTCCTCCCCCAGCCTGTTGTAATTCTGCAATTGCACAATACCAGCATTTAACGAGAAACCGCTGGATTAGCTCCCACATTGCAGAATAGGGGTCAGGAGCAGATGCCATCAACATTTTAATGTTTTACTAAGTCAAGGTTAAGGAACTGCTCACTTAGAAAACCTAGTTTAATCAGTCTTTAGACTAGTCAGATTTAAAAATAACTAAAAGGGGGCTTTAATAACTTTTTTCCCCAGGACCAGGAGTAAAGGTGATGGGGAGGGGGGGAGCGCTGAAGGCAGAATGGTCTCCTTACCATTAAATTCTTTCCCTCCACACATTTTCTCAGTGATACAGAGCAATGTGTTACCAAAGAGAGTGGCTTAAGTTTTGTAATACTCCATTTATCTTTAGTGTGGATGCTAGTGGTCTAAACGAAATGCCTTGTGGGTGTGGAGGTGTACACCTGCAGTCCCAGAATGCAGGAAGCTGAGGCAAGAGTTTCTGACTAATAAGACTACACAGGGAGTCTGAGGCCAGCATTTCTTGCTCTGTAAGTTCAAGACCCCATCTCAAAACCGTGCTTTAAATTTATTTACAAGTCACAAAGCAGCAGCATGAATGACCCCAACATCTGCTATCTCCAAGTCTAGTCATCATGCTGAAACCACTGTGTGGGCTCTCTGGGTCTCAATCTTCCCACCAGGTCTGCAGAGTACACCGGAATCCCAAAGCTCAGACTCAGACACATCGGAAATTGAATAGTGGACTTCATTAGCTGTACAATCTCCAGTAAACTAATATCTGTGAAAGCTGAGTCAATACACATGTAAGGGATCGGCTAGGTCAGGATACTCATAGTGCCCAGCACGTGGTAAGAGTTTAGTAAATGTTTGAGTTTAAAATACTTCTGTGGCTCATGCCTGGTAGGAAGACAGGGAGCGACCAAGAAGGGGCCAAGGCTAGGTAATAAAGGTATCGAATTTCCAAGATGGCCAGCTTCTTCTTCAACCTCCTGTTGAGCAGCAGGCCCCGCCCCCTGCTGAAAACTGGCTCAACAATTCTGTCTGCAGGGCTTTAGATTTCTCTGCAGCTACCTGTCACACTTCAGATTTTTCCTGCCTTTAATTCTTTAATTGGCAGAGAAAACAAACCCAGTCAAGGGCCCTAGACTACATCATTTCAAGACTATTTCACTAGCATTGAAAAAATAAAAAATAAAAGGAACACAAGCCTAACAAGACCCTCAAGCACTCAGTCACTAGGATACCCAGAGTCCCTTGTCTTTTTTTTTTTTTTTAAGATTTATTTATTTATTTATTACGTATACAACATTTTGCTTCCATTTATATCTGCACACCAGAAGAGGGCACTAGATCTCATAAGGGATGGTTGAGAGCCACAATGCGGTTGCTGGGAATTGAACTCAGGACCTCTGGAAGAGCAGTCGGTGCTCTTAACCTCTGAGCCATCTCTCCAGCGCCAGAGTCCCTTGTCTTTCAGAAAACGAGAAAGACTCTAAGAACATGTTTAAAATTTTCCCCATAATTTTTTGTGTTTCGCACGTGTGCTAGCTTGTCTATGTACATACACAATGTGCGTGTAGGTACCTGTGGAACTGTTTTAAGACACATATATGTATGCATAAGTGTAAGACTATGCTTATACATATATGTGTGTATGGCCAATGAGATGGCTTAGCAGATAAAGGCTCTTGCAGCACAACCTTGGTGGCCTAAGTTCGATCTCCAGGGTCCATGTAAAGGTAAATGGAGAAAAATCTACTCCAAAGTTGTCTTCTGACATACAGTACAAACAAACACACACACACACACACACACACACACACACACACACACACACACACACACACACACCCTGTGCCCACAGGCGTGCAATAGATTAATAACAACTCCATATGATAAAACTGAGTAGAGCAAAGCAGAAATAATCTTTATTTAGGAATGTCAAAAATCTCAGGCCATGGCCACCACATCATAGTACTATAATTTGATAAAGTCAAATTGAAAGGATTCAGGCATTATGCTGGCCTGCCCCGTTACCTGGCAGAATGCACTCAGGCAGAACTCTGGTCAGCCCATGAGTTCTAGTCTGCAGCAAGTGTAAAGGACCCCTTTTAAAAGACAGACCCCCACCCACTTATGCTGTCTTACCGTCTTACCTTCCTCATCTCTCTCTCTTAGTGTTCTGCTCTTACCCTTTTGTCTCTCCCCCTCTCGCTCTCCCCAACCAGGATTAAACCCTATGGTTAATGTATCTTGTATTTCATGTTACATATAGCACGCTGTCTTTAACTTAAACAAAAGAACAACACAAATGATATGGCATGCAGGAATCACTGTTTCCAAGCTCAATATTTGCAAATAAAACAGCCAAGGACAAGATTTTAGACTTGGTCCAGGACACAGCCAGAGCTGTGTAATAGGGACCCTGTTTCAAAAGAACAAAGACCTCAGACTTTAGGTGTTCCCATTCCCTTGCTCAGCATCAGCATGGCCAGCTCCTGAAGCCTACGCCACTGAGAGAGGAGCTGACCAAATACCTTTTGAATCATACAAAACTAAGCAGGGCTAGATGCAGGCCAGCACACAGAGCATTTACCCCTGAAGATGAACTCTGCTCTTGCAAAACAAGCTCTTTGAATTAACCCAGTTAATACTTGGATCTGCTCACTCAGCAGAGGTGGCAGCTAGGAGCACTCAACTAGACACACTCTCAGAAAACTCCACCCACTCCCTCTAGTCAAGTGACCTGCCCTTGCTAGAGTATTGCCTCTTCTACAAAAAAGGACTGAACAGATCTCATTGGATTGTTATAGGAATCAACAGTTACCACATACAAAGGATTAGAAATAGCACGAGGCTCCAAAGGAAGGGGGCAGAAGAGGCTGCTGTTCATTGTTTGCCCTTTCTTACTTTTCAGTATGTATAATTCTCGTGCAACAAACATAATTGACATGTAAATTTACAGTATTTAGCAATATGGACATGAATCTTCCACCCTCTCCCCACCCCCCAAAAAAGGCACACCAAAACCTTTCTACCGAAAATACATGAAAATTAAGTAGGAGGGCTGGAGAGATGGCTCAGTGGTTAAAAGACTGGATACTCCTCTAGAAGACATGGGTCAATTCTCAACACCTATATGGCAGTGCAAAACTGTTTGTGACTTCTGGGCTTTGTGGGTACCAGGCATGCACATGATACATATATGCAGATTAAAAAATACACATAAAATAATAAATTTGTCGGACGGTGGTGGCGCACGCCTTTAATTCCAGCATTCCGGAGGCAGAGGCAGGCAGATCTCTGTGAGTTTGAGACCAGCCTGGTCTGCAAGAGCTAGTTCAAGGACAGGCTCCAAAGCCAGAGACACCCTGTCTCGAAAAACCAATAAATAAGAAAATGAAGTAGGGTTCCAGAATGAATATGGAAAAGCTCTGGAGATGTGGGAATCTTTGAGAAGTCCACAGAAGCAGGAGTCTCAAATACCTAGAAACAAAGTCTTCAATGAAATACATTTAAAATGCCAATTACCAGATTCCCGGCTTTGGGCCTGATTCAGCCCGCCTTTGGTGGGGGTCTGACACTGCAGTTTTTACTCAACATTTCTAGTAATTCAAAGTCTGATGCATTTGGTGGGTACATTGTATTTTCATAAACACTAACAAAGGAAAAAAATCTGAGGAGGAAAAAGAAAAAAATCCACAGCTGGAAAGAATTTGCTCCATGGTTAAACTCTCCTTTGGACTCTGCTCTTTGAAGGCCAGTAACTGATAACCAATTGGTAAATAACAGTGAGATTCCCTTACCCCCTATTAAAAGAATGCTTGTTGGCCCATAGTGATGGTACACGCCTTTAATACCAGCACTCGGGGAGGCAAAGGCAAGAGCAAGACCATTCAAGCCTGGTCTACATAGCAAATTCCAAGCCAGCCAAGGCTACACAGTGAAACCCTTTTTCAAAAAAACAAACAAAAAGAATGCTACCCTACCTCATCTTAAACTAGAACACACTGAAATTTAAGTAATCCAAGCCAGTTTATAGTCTGAAAAAAACACCCATTGAAATTCAAAACCTGGCCAAGTATGGTGGTGGTAGCCGTTAATCTCAGAGATAGAAGCAGGAGGATCTTAGTGGGTTCAATTTAAAAAAAAAAAAAACAAAACACAAAAGAAAAAACTTTTTCTTGGTGATGGGATAAGCACACTACCAAACTACATCCCTAGTCTTCAACCATTTAAAACTAAATTTTCAAAAACTGGGAATAATTGTTATGATCTGGAGCACAGAGGGGACCTTGGAGGATCCAGTGACTGGTGACAGGTAAATATGCCCTCCAGGCAGATTTATTGGGGGATGGGAAGGGTATAAGAGAAGGGATGGGAGGGAGAGAGGTGAGAGAGAAGGGAAGGGGGAGAAGAGGGAAAG